TATTAACAGATTAAAAAGAGCAAGCCCTGCACTTAGGAAAATCAACTTGCATATTTATTTGACTGTAAGAAAGCAAACTGAACTAGACCGTACCCCTTCCCTTGTTCCTCTTTTTTTTCATTGCCTCAAGCTCTGTAAGAAACTCTTACCTGAGGTGGCAGCAGCCAAACAGTCCCAGGGACCCACTTGGGGTTATAGTGAGGACCTTCTCATCCTCAGGCATCTTTCTCCCTGTGTGACTGACTAGCAAGGCAAATTCACTTTAAGGTCGTTAAGATAGACTGAGACACAGATGTGAAAGGTTTCAGGGTGCCAAATCTGATGCACACTCTCCAGGAAGAACAAGTGAGATTATATCTCTTAACATTCTGCCTTGGTGTTACCTCATGTGCTATGTATGAGCCTACAGTGATTGCCAGGAGCAAGCGTTGGATCCAGCAGAGAAGTTGAGATCAAGCAACCCTGACACCAGAAAAGGAAGGACAGCCTCCCAAGTGACCCCACCAAAGAGCTTATGACCCCACTTCCCCAGAAGCCAGGGCAAAATGACTCTTGGCTGCATCCAGGCTGGCCATGGAAAATCTCAGCTTGCCCTACTCCTTCACATAGCTCTGAGCAATATCCTTGACTCTTCGGGACTTTGGTGTCTTCTTCTGTGAAATGGGCCCAATCCCCAATGAGCCTCCTTTTCTTTAGTGTCATCTTACCAACTGGCTCTGTGCTTTAGCAACCCCAATCTGGGTGGACCCTAGAGAGAGACTGAGCTGAAGGAAGTCTTACGGTGACCAATGGTGATTGTAAGGAATGCTGGTTTGTTCTAATTCACTAGTTTAAAATCAGACAGCTTTTAAATCGAATTGTTATTGGAGTCTTAATTTTTTAAGTTATTTGTCAAGGTCCTACCTGTTCTAATTTAGATTCTTCACGGTACACTTTTTATTCTTCTGCCATACCCCCAAGACCGTCAACTCTCATGGAGGTTAAACAATAAGGCCTTGCATCTTGGGGTGTGTTTTATCACAAGGGCATTTATCAAAACATAGAGGCATTTGGGAGTTTTCCTTTGCGTCTTCTCCATGGGTCTCCTTAAGCATATTGTTCCCTGGGAATGTGAATTTTTGTTAAGTTCAGGGCCCAGTGACAGTTCTAAAGCGGTTTATTACTTAAGCCTGCAATAAAGCTAAGCAAGAACTTTCAAAGGAGAAGGCAAGCTTATGTCTACATCTGCTCTGGCTAATTGTGAGCCCGTGTCCTCCCTGTTGGCCCCGGACTGGCCTAGTTTTAGGGGCAGATTAGAGAATAAGACTTCATTCCGAGGGAACTCTGCCTCACGCAGGGAAATTTTAGGTACTGGAACTTTGCTGCCCCAGAAGCAGCTCACAGTTTTGCGTTTCCTACAGTATTAAGTACTTTCCTATGTATTACCTAAGTTATTAAAATACTATTTCCAGAAAAAATAATGGAATGTTGCAAGACTAAAGAGCTTGCCCATGCTCATGTTCCTGTAACAGGCATGAGCCAGGGCTAAATTCAATCCCAACTGCCTCACGCTAAACTCTGTTCAGAGGACAGTCCCCTCTATCCTTCCCATTGTAGTCTAGGTTGCTTCTCTGGTTATGTGCTCGCGGAAGATGCCTTAAATGGTCTAAGTCCCGTTCTCTTATTATCTAATTTGTTTTTTAATAGCTTCAATTCATTTTCAGATACTTCCTCCCAGTTGGTGGCTTGCCTTTTCATGGCCATAACTGCATCTTTTAAGGCAAAGTTCGGAATCTTGAGGAACTTCAATTTATCTTTATTTCTGCTGTTGGTGGGTTGTACACATAACGTATAGGCTTCGTCTAATTCTAGGCTACAAAAATGGTCTCATATATTTCCTCCTGAAATTTTTACAACTCCGAGGTAATTGCTATTGATCTATGAAGGTGAGGGATAAGGTTTGTGTTGTACAGGAACATCTAATTATCTTCATAGCATTTGTTGAAGGCTAGCTTATCTCCATTGAACTGCCTTCGCCTGTGTATGTGCATGTCTGTGGGCAGCCACCCCATTCTGTCCACCTTCCCCTTCAGCTTCTTCACACCAGTGCTGGAATGGCTTGGAGCTCTTCCGCATGTCTTCACATCCTTCAGTGATGCCCTTCTCCTTGAAAATGGTGTTTGCTATCCTAGGTCTATATTTTTTTTTTTTTTGATGTTTGATTTAGCTATGGATGTGATTATGAAACAGCACAGAGAACTTAAAGATCATTTAAAATATAAAGATCGTGGTACAAAATTAGAGAAACATCTTGGCTTGTGACTCCATCAGGAAGCGGAAACAGTGAGCATGGGATTCCACTTAGTTAATCAAAAATTATCCCATGTACCTTGCATACCTTGTTTTAAAAAATACTCAGATGATAATAATTTATATTAGACCTGAATTGGATGTGATTCCAATATCAACAGTACTTCAGAAACTGATATGGAACAATGTCTTAGCCAGTGTTTGTGTCTATTGTCATTGTCCCAGCCAAATGCAGATTTACAGATGAGGGAGTTTATTTGACTACACTGGCTGCTACCTCCCCATGCTAGCTTTGAGTTTGGAATGGCTTTCTTCAGATTTATGGGGAGTTCTATTTGACAGTAATGTGTGAAGTGTTCTGGTATCTGTCTCTTTTATTAAAGCATAACCTTGTTTACTGTAAGCTCACTATCTGCCGGGCACAGTGAGGAGTCACTCTTAATTAGGCCAGGGAAACACTGACGATAGTGGCCACCGCTGCCACTGGGAGCTATTGAGAAAATTACCCTCCCTAGGCCCTGTTTCATCATTTGTCCAATGAGAGGTTTAAGCTAGTTAACTTTGAGTGGACAACTCAACTCCAAAGTCCTCTGATTCTTCTTCTATCTTTATTCGCTTAAAAATTGTAACCTCTTTAAAAAAAAAACAAAGGATATTAATGATATAAATCACACTGATCACAAAAGGCAAGTTTTCCAGTTGGGGAAATCTGGTCTTTTGAGGCCCCTAAACACCCCACAACCACAGTGTGAGTCTTTGACTCTACTCTTACCTGTGGCCAACACAGCAACTCCAGTTGCTGCGACGGCACCTTGTGCAATGATCATCTAGAGCCCTTGAAGTCCTTACATTACAAGAAGTATAAGAATGGCCACTGAGCCTGGGGTGTTTTAAAAGCTCAGTGGTCCCCCAAATTGATGGGCTAGGTTTTCAAACACAGCTTTACAATAACCGGTACAGTATTGAAACCAAGAGGGACTTAAACTTCTTCACTGTCCTCAGTAATCCAAGGCACAGTTTTATGTCCACATTCTGTGTCATCTTAGCTATATTCTCAGGGCAAGAGTATTAAACAACCTGCTGCCTATCAGCAAACAAAATTTAAATGTACATGAGTTTAAAACAACATGGGAGCATTACTGAGCACCTATGGTCTTAGTTTGCTTTCCACTGCTATGGTAAAGACCCTGACCAAGGGCCATGTGGGCAAGTAGGGATTATTCGGCTTATATGTCCGAATCATGGTCTATTAATGAGGGAAGCCAAGGCAAGAACTCCTGGAGGCAGGAATTGGAAGACAAACCAGGGAGGAGTGCTACTTACGGGCTTCTTTTCCATTGCTTTTCCGTGTTTGTTTGTTTGTTTGTTTTCTTTATAAAAACCCAGGGCCACCTGTGCAAGGGTGGCACCACCCACAGCGAACTAGGCCCTCCGGCATTAATTACTAATCAAGAAAATACCTTGCAGACCTGCCCACGGGGCAATCTGTTGTGCTCTGACCAGGTGACCTTGTTTGTGTCACACAACCCTGTTGTGTGGCAGGTGCTGCCAAGTATGTCTTTCGTGTTGTGTTAAGTCCGTCACAGTCTTAAAGGCTGGGCACCGTCCACTCTTTCTTTCGGAGGAAGACATGTGGAACATTCTCTGTTAATGACCAGAGTCATCAAATAGTAAGTGGCAAAGCTGGTCTTCACGTCTGTTTCACATTCAAGCTTAAACTATTAATGACCACATCAAAGACTAGTTCTCAGTACTCAGCCAGTGCATTTCAGGAGTCGTCGAATTTATAGGATGAACCGTAGCCCTCAAACCCAGAATAAAAGTCCTGATGGATCACTTTGGGGTCAGTCTGATAGAAGGGGGAATTCACAGGAGTTTTCCCAAAGCAGTTGCTGTGAACTATATTTTGAAATAAAGGGCATGAATTGCCCCAAAGAGAAAGGTGAGTGTCTGTTAAAGAGATGGATTTGGCGAAGCTGTGAAAACACAAATGGCCAAATTATGTGCTCTGGAAGCAACATTAAGACCTAACTCACTGCAGGGTAATAAAACTGATGTCATAGGGATAGAATCCAAGACATTTCAATTCTGGTGCTAGGTGCTGGAGATAACACTCTCAGAATTTAAGCATGAGGGGAACATGGCTCAAATGACATGGGGTTTGCCAGTCATTCTGTAGCCGGTATCAGATCAATGGAATTTTGAGTGCTTTGAAGGTCAAGAGCAAAATCTCTTAGCAAAATATATTAGATATTCAAGCACTATCTTCATGAATATAATGCTGTGTGACCTTAATTGTACAATGACAGTGTATTAAGAGGCCTAGGAGGAGATTTTAGACAATTTTTGGAAATAAAGCTGGCTAATCTACCATGGTCAAACTGGATCACAACACTTTCAGGCCCATCATCGCTGGTATTGTGCTGGGTGCAAAGAAGGAACACAGGGTTATAGATTAAACTCGGGGTTGGGCGAATAGAAATCTCTTAACAATATGTATTAAATTGGGTTGAATTGAAGTCCACTTCCAGAAGGCAATTACTGCTCCTGCATGAGGACTAATGTGTTTGGTGAAATAGCGCTGGTTCCTTCCCATTATAAACTCCCTAATGCTGACTTAATGTCTCTTCACATTTTTCTAAAGCATTTCTTCCTTTCCCTGTCTCTGTCTGTCTCTCTCTCTCCCTCTCTCTTTCTTTCTCTCTCTCCAGTTCCAGAGACCTAATGACTTTTCACCCCCTTTCCGCTTTGGGACTGTGCCCAATGGCAGCACAGAGAGGAATATCCGCAATAACTATGCAGAAATGCATGCCTACATGGGAAAGTTCAACCAAAGGGGTGTAGATGATGCATTGCTCTCCCTCAAAACGGGGTAAGAATGACCTCCGAGCTCAGAGTGAAATGTTTCTCCCATCCATTAGACACAGACTGAACTGGTACCATAATCATGAAATCAAAGACCGCTGCCGAGTTAAATCTGACAGTATCATTCCAACCATTGTACAAAGGTTCCTGTTCTGTCATGCGCTTCTGTGTTACCATCCTGCGAATTGTTTTCTGCTTGCATGAATGTGGCCATGTAGTAGAAATGAAACACAATGACGTGTAGAAGGAGGGATCAAGGAGAGAGCTCATGTATGTTACACATGGGATGGAAAAGACTGTTCTGGGATCCACGGACATGGGGGAAATAAAAGAAGAAGTGTGCAAAACTTTTTAGATGGCAACAGCCAAGCATGTGTTGATTGAGCTTCAATCCCAGCTTTGGCTATCGTTCCTCTTTGCCCATCCCTGTGCCTCGTCTGCTCACAAACTGTAGATGGACATCACGGAGCTCACCAGGCACACTTGTCCTTTTGTTTGAAAGCCATCAACACTGGGCATTGGAAATGTTGAGATTTGGCGGCTAATGGGTCACACCGCTGTTTCCCTTCGTTCTATGATGACCACCAGCCTGAGGACCTTGTTTGGTTACCCTTGCACGGCAAGGTCTTCAAGCACCACCTAGGTGTGTGGACTCTTAAAATACTGTGAGATGCTCTAAACAAAGTCACAACAGACTTCAGAAGATGAGATCTGAAGTCAGGGTAGGAGAACTCTGGGTAGTTTAAACCATGGGACACCCATAGCTCCCAGTTACACCAGATATTTGGCATGCCACCAATCCATATTTTTAATAAGATGCATTTTATAATTTTATAAAATATCCTGTGACTTGTCATGTCAGAAAGGACTTGCTTTTTTTCTTTTCTTAAAGAAGGACAAAGATCTCCAACTTATAAATGTCTGGCCCGGGCTGGCGGGGTGGGGGCTGCATGTTCTGCTTCGTTTCGGACCTGTCACTTGCATGGCTTCATCTGAGCTGCTTCCTCTGTTTTTAATGTATGGGCATGTTGGTTTGAAACAATATGCATGCCTTCCTGCTCTTAGCCAGGATCTTTTCTCTACGTAACCCTTCTTCACAAAGCTCCATGTCTCACACCATGTGCCTATAGGTTTAGGAATTTGAATGATCTTGTTTCTTCTGTATGCCACCTTCTCTTGCAATGTTTCCCATTCGCTCTTGCACAAGCTTGGGCTGTCAGTCACCACTCGGGCCCCTCAAAGCAAAGTCAAATGATACAAGACAATAGTGAAACCTTTCTGACCACCAAAATAGCCATGCATCTCCTGAAGCATGTACACCTACACTTTTCCCCACTCTGGACCGTAATGAACTGAGAAATGAAAAACGTTATATAAATCTCACCCATGCTATTTGTTATCATTGTGGTGCTTACTTTTCATTATTTCTGTTATTATTTTTATTGATTGCTTTTTACTCCTTCTCCTTTTCAGACACAGCTTATGAGTTGGCCTCGGGCCCAACTTACATTCTTATCATTCCTAGTGGGAGGGGAAAAAATAAACGGCTCTTTTGAACCTGAAGTCCCATGAAGAACAACAGCCTGGGACGCAGGCTTTAGGCTCTGACAATAGTCCCACATGAGCCTAACTGGGAGCCAGTCCTCCACATAGCTTCTGGAACTGCACCGCTCATACTAATGGCCCAATAGGCAGTTCTGTTGTGTAATTTCCTACTTGGTATTTGTTGGTTCCTTTCTTTCCTGTGCAGGAAGCTTGATGCTTTCATCTACGATGCAGCGGTGCTCAACTACATGGCCGGAAGAGATGAAGGTTGCAAGCTGGTGACCATTGGCAGTGGCAAGGTCTTCGCATCCACTGGCTATGGCATTGCTATCCAGAAAGATTCCGGGTGGAAGCGCCAGGTAGACCTTGCTATTCTGCAGCTATTTGGAGACGGTGAGTTAAAGAAAGGGGAAGTATTCACTTGGCTTCAACCCTTGGCCATTCTGAAATAGCAACCTTTCTTCTCTGGATATCTAAAACAGCTTGTCATGGGATACGATAAGACTGAAGAGCTCTCTTTAGACTGCTAGGGCCACCATAACAAATGACATGGATGGAACGACATAAACATAGGGTTCATCGTGTTGAATTCTGGGCACTACAGCCAGTTTCACTTGAAAGTGGTAAAGGAGAATTCTCGTCATGCTTCCCTGTAACATGATTCCTAACTGCTCTCAATAAAAAAAAACCCAGAGTCAGATATCAGACACAGAGATTCATCTGTGTCTGCCTCCTCAGTGCTGGGATTAAGGTCTGTACCACCACTGCCTGTCCTCCATGGCTAGTTAGTGTGGTTATCTCTGTGTTCTGATCTTCAGGCACAGATCTGTGTTGTGATCTTACAACACAAACAAAATATCACCACACTTGTCTCACGACTTTTGATGGCTTGTTGGTTCTGCTTGGTCTTCCTTGACCTGTGAAGGCACCACTTAGGTCTCCACTTTCATTCTTCCTGGGTACGTGTTTCTGTTAGAAACATCATCTCTCTCTGAATTCATACTTTTCTTAAGGTCAATCATATGAGATTAGGGCCCACTGTGTTCCAGTGTGATCTTACTATGATAAATTACATCTGCAACGACCCTATTTCCAAATACATCTACATCCATAGCTACCAGTATACACACACACACACACACACACACACACACACATATATATATATACTGGTAATTTATATAAATTGTAAGAAGACACACTTGCACTAGGTAAAAGATGAAGGAAGGTATTAAAGTAGTTGGTGACAAGGGTACATTTGAAGATTGTGTGGTATAAGAAAGCCTTCAGGGATGCAGTAGGCTACAGATAGATACCTCAGATAACACTCCATGTGTAGCCCAAAACAGTAGGGTAGTGTTCTATCTGTTCCCAGAGAAATGAGTGTGTGGCTGTTTCCTCATCCTCCACTCTGTCCTGCCTTGATTGTCACGTCTGAAGAGGTAGAGGGAGATGCAGTTACCAGACGGTACTTTACTGTGCCTTTCCAGGGTGGGCTGAACACTGAGAAAGTTTGCTTCATTAAGCTACTATCTTTTGAATTTCTCTTCCCTTCCTTGTCCAAAGCATCAGCTCTTCCCATCAGCCCTCTCACACAAACTGATGCAGCTGCACATGCGCCTCCCTCTGCATGGTTCTCCAGCTAATCAGCCCTGTGGGTTTGTCAGTTGTGGCTGGAGGACCTTTGTTTGTCGGGGAGGACATCAGAGGCAAACCCAGAGGTGGGTTTTCAGACTACAGCTGGATCTGGCGGCTGGAGTAGTTAGGAAAAGCATTGTTAAATCAAAGAAGGGAATAAAAGTGAGTGGATTCCCATCAGGAAGAGCAGGGAGTTTGTAACTGGAGCAAACCATGTTGGTGTAACCATTCATAGCCAAATGGCTTCTTAGTCTATAACCAAGTGCATCAGTAGAGAGGACTTCGGCTTTCACTGGGCCATGCAAAGTTCAGACTTTCATCCAAACCAGAATCGACTGACCAGTATCCTTCATGAGATTTCTAGAATTTCATTTGTGTGAAATTAGTGACATTCTAGGGTACATGTTTTATTTCATCATTTTTTGCCCAAGAGTTTCTACTGAATAACATCTACATTTCTGCTGACTAATATCCAGTGATTGTAGATAAAAGTAATTGAGATCTGACAGAACTGGAGTAATCAATGTCCCTTCAACAGGGTTGAGAGGAGGCAGGTTCCACTGGGGTGGTTTTGTTTCATTCAAACTTGCTCCTCTTTTGCTTTCCATATTTTTCTCTTTAAGAGATTGTGGGAGCCCATGTGACTCCATTTCCATCTGGATTCCATTCTGACTATAAGTCATTTGAGTTCAAGCTTGCCTGCTCTGCTTTATCCAGTAACCTTGAGGGCTGTGAGAGACTTCTGACTTTGCCTGTGAGAAAAGAACCCTCTATCTAGTAGACAGTATACCGCTGATGACAAACCTCAGGAACCTAAGATAGAAAGTAAGACTGCTCCCAAGCAACAAGCGCAAGTTAGTTAGGAGGTTGCTCACTCAAGGACAGAAATGGTCTTGTTAGACACTGACTGACCATCTGTGCTGTGCTTTGTTCTGCTTTTGTATATAAGCAAGTTCCGAAATAAACTCTGGGCTATTTGGCTATTTCAGCATGATCAAACAGACCTCCCGATTCTATCCTGCATTTTCTGTCTCTGTTCCTTTCATCTGACATTTCCTTGGTCTTGACGACCCCCAATTCAGGAACCCTAGCTGACTCTGTAGAAGCCAACTCCTACAAAGGATCTGTAATTCTGAGAGACCATAGCGGTTCAATCTCTCTCCAATCTCTTTCAAACTCTCCTTCCCCAATCTAATCTGCTCTGTATAAGTCCCAGCTTTTGCCCATTTGATTATGCTATCCCCACTGTTTATAAAATAAAGGACAGAGTGTTTAACCCCAGAATGCTTGCATTAATCTTTTTATTAAGCTTTCTTGCTGAGCATCATTCTATTTGAACTGTTTGTTTATTATTTTTGCCTCTCCCTAAGCCCCTGTCTCCCACCTCTTCCCCTTTGATTATGCTAGTCCTGCAGTCTGGGATGCTTTTATGTACAATATAAATTAAAATCCATTCCCACTCTCAAGTTCTCTCTTCTTTTTCTCTCTCTTTTTTTTTTCTCTCCACATTAACCACTTTGCCCAAAAACTGTCGTTTCTAATTTGAACCCTTGTTCTTTGCATACTATATTGTGGGTAACTCTGAACACTGAGCTGCCGGTTTGCACGGGATAAGGGAGAACCACAGGGAAGTTCCATGTCCTTCTGCCATCTATAGTTCATTCGTTACAATGTCACTGAATACTTAGGGGTATATTGATGAGTTGAGATGTAATGACATTAATAAAAAGTATTCATTTTCTCTCTTGTTTGTGTCTCTTTCTGTTATGTTTTGACCCCCTTCAACTCTCTTCCTGCTTTGTCTCCCCTTCTCTTTCCTCCCCGCTTTATCTGTTTCCTTCTGTGCCCTCTTTCCAGGGGAGATGGAAGAACTGGAAGCTCTCTGGCTCACTGGCATTTGCCACAACGAGAAGAATGAGGTTATGAGTAGCCAGCTGGACATCGACAACATGGCAGGCGTCTTCTATATGTTGGGGGCAGCCATGGCTCTCAGCCTCATCACCTTCATCTGTGAACATCTGTTCTACTGGCAGTTCCGGCATTGTTTCATGGGTGTCTGTTCTGGCAAGCCAGGCATGGTCTTCTCCATCAGCAGAGTAAGTGTTTTGACGTAGAAACCTAGAGCTCGTTTAGCCTTGTTCTGTGCCAAGCAGAGAGACCCAAGAGGGTGCTCGTTGCAGCCTTATGTAGCTAAAGCATGAAGCCACGTCATATGCTTGTCCCCAGGAATCCGTGGGAGAGAAATCCAAGCGTTTCTAAGATGGGTGGTGCTATGTTTTCTTCCATTTGAGACTCAGATGTTTGATTCACAGTTTTAAAAAGGCAGATCTCTCAACACAGAAAATTTGAAATTTCCCCATTTGCTTTTTACATCACCATTAACTGATTCTGCATTAATCACTTGATCCTTAAATAGGAAGGTGTAACATATCTTAGTCTAACACTCAAAGGCATGTTGCCGGTGGTCTTACTGTTCTTAGATCTTAACCACGTGTGAGATACAGGGGATTGAAGAGTCTAAAGGTTGGGTGTGGTGGCACATGTCTATAATACCAACACTGTAAGAATGTATAACATTTAAAAGAACCTAACAGAACCCAAGTCTTGACTTCTAAGAAACTTATATTCCAGAAACTTACTTAACTGGGGCAAGACTTCAGACTAGGTTAGGAGTCTTTATTTCCAGTTCAGAGTGAGGTACCAGGAAAATAGTTTGGTTTTGAGATCTTCATTTCCAGTTCAAAGTGAGGTATTGGGGAAATAGGTGGGTATATGAACCTCAGATCACAGAGGGAATTTTTTTTTTTTAGAGAGTAGGATTCTCCTGGCTTTGCTAATGCAGCTGAGGGACTCACACATGAGTGGTGAACTCACATGACCTTTGAGGATTGAGGATCGAACTCCGTATATAACCAACCTTGACTCAAATGGAGTTGTGAAAGGGAATGGATTTCTCATTAAGTTGTTTCATTCTCTGGTCATTTTCCCGTAGTGTTTTAGTGGCAGGGAACAATTTCTCCATTTCCTCTCCAGCTGTCAGTTAATGCAGCTCATTCAATCACATAAGAACAGGAGAAAGGAAATTGTGGGACTCTGGGTCCCTGTGCCTTGGGTTCCTCTGTGTAGCCCTTCCCAGAAGCCACAGAGGCAACAGAGAAAAGAAATCTCATCCGTGGCCCCCTGACATGAACACTGTCTTCACAGAGGAGAACACTTAACATGTCCCCTGTCCACAGTCAAGGGGTCAGAAGTGAGAAGCAGAAAGTGAGCAGAATGCCCCCCCAGGAAGACCTAGTGTCTCACAGAGTCTGACACTTCTTCACCACATAACTACCATCTTCCTTCTGACCTTTCCTGCTCTCGGCCCCACACATTCAGATAAGATTCCTTCCCCAATTACTGTTCTCAGATGAAAAGATGCAGTTCAAAGTCACTTCCCTTGCCATCCACCTCCCATGGTGGCACATGAATGGTGAGCAGTAGGGTGACCTGAATCTAGATGTGGGGAGACCAGTGGCCCAGGAAAGAAACCCATCTCATCTCATGGATGCTATCCTTCAGTGCCCTGATCAAATAACTCTATGCCAGGTGTTCTTTATCAATACTAATTTAATGAAACATTAATTGATTGTGATAATACTTCATATAAGAAGAAAACCAAGTTAAAAAGTGGATAGAAGAGACCTTAGCAAGGGAGCTATTTATTCATATAGAGCCCTAGACATTCGCCCCAGTTCTTCACTCCCACAGTGTAGGCCACAGCAGTAGAAAACCCTCCTTTGACCCCAGGGCTTTCTAATTCTCTGTGTGATTCAGTTCATGCTTAGCTACAGACAGCATTGCTCCCTGGTTATTTGTGGACCACAATTCTAAAAGCTGCTCAAAATCAGGGCTAGAGACAAGAGGCCACTGTGAGGGCCATCAGTCAGGAGTGGCCAACCAGAGCAAAAGAGACCCAGAACCTGTGGTGAGAGACCCTGCTCCCTCTGTTTGCCATGTGTTTATAGCATGAATTCTTTTATAAATTGTGAAAATCTGAGTGTAGGGAAGAAAACGAAGACAGATCGTGTTTGGAGCTGAAGCACAGTTGGCGTGTCATCTCACTGTTCAAGTCCCCTGGTATGAGCATCTCCCTCTCTGGTGGCCAGCTTACTCTCCTCATAATAGAAATTTGCTAAATTCAAGGAACTCCATCGGCCAAGCTCTGAGTCACATGTCCTGTGAGCGTGGTTCACTGCCTGCCTCTTGCTTCCCCTATCTTTGTCTTGCCTCGTTAGACTGTTAGTGGTAGCACGCCCGCTGTCTGTGTTGTGTTTCCGTTTCTCCGAACTCAATGACACCCTCCTATGTCCCTTCAGGGTATCTACAGCTGCATCCATGGTGTCGCTATAGAGGAGCGCCAGTCCGTGATGAACTCCCCTACCGCTACCATGAACAACACACACTCCAACATCCTGCGCTTGCTCCGCACAGCCAAGAACATGGCCAACCTGTCTGGAGTAAACGGCTCCCCTCAGAGTGCCCTGGACTTCATCCGCCGCGAGTCCTCCGTCTATGACATCTCTGAGCATCGCCGCAGCTTCACCCATTCGGATTGTAAGTCATACAACAACCCGCCCTGTGAGGAAAACCTGTTCAGCGACTACATCAGTGAGGTAGAGAGGACATTTGGCAACCTGCAGCTCAAGGACAGCAACGTGTACCAGGACCACTATCACCATCACCACCGGCCACACAGCATCGGCAGCACCAGCTCCATTGACGGGCTCTACGACTGTGACAACCCACCTTTCACCACCCAACCCAGGTCAATCAGCAAGAAACCCCTGGACATCGGCTTGCCCTCCTCCAAACACAGCCAGCTCAGCGACCTGTACGGCAAGTTCTCCTTCAAGAGCGACCGCTACAGTGGCCATGATGACTTGATTCGATCGGATGTCTCAGACATCTCCACGCACACTGTCACCTATGGAAACATCGAGGGCAATGCAGCTAAGAGGCGGAAGCAGCAGTACAAGGACAGTCTGAAGAAGCGACCGGCCTCGGCCAAGTCGAGGAGGGAGTTTGATGAAATCGAGCTGGCCTATCGTCGCCGCCCACCCCGCTCCCCAGACCACAAGCGCTACTTCAGGGACAAAGAAGGGCTCCGAGACTTCTACCTGGACCAGTTCCGAACAAAGGAGAACTCGCCTCACTGGGAGCATGTGGACTTGACCGACATTTACAAAGAACGTAGTGACGACTTCAAGCGAGATTCGGTCAGTGGAGGTGGGCCCTGTACCAACAGGTCTCACCTCAAACATGGAACAGGCGATAAACATGGCGTGGTAGGTGGGGTGCCAGCTCCTTGGGAGAAGAATCTGACCAATGTAGATTGGGAGGAGCGGTCTGGGGGCAACTTCTGCCGCAGCTGCCCCTCCAAGCTGCACAACTATTCCTCTACGGTGGCAGGGCAGAACTCGGGCCGGCAGGCCTGCATCAGGTGCGAGGCCTGCAAGAAGGCTGGGAACCTGTATGACATCAGCGAGGACAACTCCTTGCAGGAACTGGACCAGCCGGCTGCCCCTGTGGCTGTGACATCCAATGCCTCCACCACCAAGTACCCTCAAAGCCCGACTAATTCCAAGGCCCAGAAGAAGAACCGAAACAAGCTACGCCGGCAGCACTCCTACGACACCTTCGTGGACCTGCAGAAGGAGGAGGCCGCCTTGGCCCCACGCAGCGTGAGCCTGAAAGACAAGGGCCGATTCATGGATGGCAGCCCCTACGCCCACATGTTTGAGATGCCAGCTGGTGAGAGTTCCTTTGCCAACAACAAGTCCTCAGTGCCCACTGCCGGACACCACCACAACAACCCTGGCGGCGGCTACATGCTCAGCAAGTCGCTCTACCCTGACCGGGTCACGCAAAACCCTTTCATCCCCACTTTTGGGGATGACCAGTGCTTGCTTCACGGCAGCAAATCCTACTTCTTCAGGCAGCCCACGGTGGCAGGGGCATCGAAAACAAGGCCGGACTTCCGGGCCCTTGTCACCAATAAGCCAGTGGTGTCGGCCCTTCATGGGGCTGTGCCTGGTCGTTTCCAGAAGGACATTTGTATAGGGAACCAGTCCAACCCCTGTGTGCCTAACAACAAAAACCCCAGGGCTTTCAATGGCTCCAGCAATGGACATGTTTATGAGAAACTTTCTAGTATTGAGTCTGATGTCTGAGTGAGGGAAGAGAGAGAGAGGTTAAGGTGGGTACGGGAGGGGTAGGGCTGTGGGCCGCGTGGTGCGCATGTCCTGGAAAGAGTCGGGGGTGAACTTGGCTCCCATTCGCTTTTTCTTGTTCTTTTAATTTCCCTATGGGATCCCGGAGTTCTGGTTCCTACTGAAGGCAGCCCTCGTGGCCGGCACCATTTCTCCTCCCTCCGCAGGTCTCTTCTCCCCGCATCTGTCCACCACTCCTATAGCCATGAGAGGATAGAACGGGCCTCAGTGTGGGAGGATGGAGAGGAGACAGGAAGTGCTTGCTGCTTGTGGGCTTCTTTCTAGTGCGGAAGTGCCCTGAGCCCTGAGAGGGAGGCTTTCCTGAAACTGCTCTTTTTTTCAGGCTAGGAAGTGAAGGCAGCCTAAGGAAGGCCCTTTGGCGTCCCGCTCATAAGAGAGAAGGGGCTTTTTGCTGAATTCTTGCTGGGTGGTTGGTGGTTGCCTAGGGACCCTGTAAACAGCAGAGGGCAGGAAGTGATTCTGTGCTTATATATAAGCCAAATAAAAAGTTTGCCTCAGCCCCATAAAACTCTGCGGTGGAGAACCAAGGGGGAAGGCCATTGGCAGACGAGGGATTCCTGAGCAAATTGGGACATTCACTGCAATAGTGCCCTATGGTTCACTGGAGGCAAGAGTAGAGAATTCTGTGTGCACATATGTCCATGTACATCTGTACCCACTTGTGGTCAGCTGCCTCTGAGTAAAGAGGGGGGGAGCCTTGGCTCACTGCCTTCTTCCGTAGGCTTAAGTAATGTACTTGTTTTGGCTTATATATAAACCAATGCCACAGGTTACCAGGATTTGGGCTAGCTCTCCCTTTTCCCTTCTTCAGAGAGGCTGGAGGTTCTTGACAAAGAAAATTCTCTACTATAGGAAAAGTATATGACAAGAGAAAGTGAAAGGAACTGCAACAACCCTGCAGACTGATATGTCAGTGTTGTCTATAGTTACTATAGCTTAGGCGCAGAACTTTCCAGTAAGGCATGAGGGAAATCGAAGCAGCCATGAGTCTTTTATCCAATCTCAGAGCAAAAGGTTCTAGAAAACTCTTTTAGGCATTTAGCTCCTTGCCTGGCTAAGGTTTGAGGAAAGACTCTCCACAGAAGGTTTGGAAGAGGAGAATCATTCACAGTAGGGTAAGTGAGAGAGGGGGATGTTTTCAATGCTTTGATCCCTTCTCACTTAACCTAGAGCTGGAAGGGTAGGCAAATTCCTCCAAAGCCGGTGATAAGTGACAGGGGACAGACAGAGGAGAGAAATGAGCTTGTCCTCCAGGGTACAGCTCTGGAAGCCAGAGAGAACCAAGATTTGGAGTATGACTTGAACTAATGTGAGCACTCCTGAAGGAACCATTTCTCTTCCGCAACCCCCAGTTCCCTCTGATTGTACCACTCAACAGTAAGCATGTGTGCGTGCGTGCATGCATGGGTGTATGTGTGTGCGTGTGTATGTGTGTACATGTGTGCGTGTGTATGTGTGTGTGTGTGTGTGTGTGTGTGTGTGTGCGTGTGTGTAAAACTCCAGGTCCAGGGATGGGGGTGCTGGCAGGAGTGATGCCCCCTCGCTTAAAGTTGGAAATTGAAGAAGGGAAATGAATATTTGTGTCCCTGCCTGTCCTGAAACTTGGGGTAGGGGTGTCCTATGGGTCAGTTCCACTGTCCTGCCGTCCCCTCACACAGGGTGGCATCCAAAGAGCCCTGGGTTTGTTTGGAAGCGTGACTGCAGAATCGCCTTGTCGCACACAGGACACATAAACCAGAAAGGTGCTCACCCTCCTCTGGAACGAAGCCGCCATGTCTCTTCACGTCACACCCTCCAGGGCTGCTCTTTGCCTTCCTGGTTGCCCTGCCTCACGACCCTCCCTCATCTTTCATCCTCGACTGCTGTCTCCCACCTTCCTCCTTGATTTTTACCTCAGTATCTTTCATTTAAAAGCCAACCGAAGGCCTTGTTTTCTTTCTAAGATGAACGTGGGGGCAAGGGGCTGAACCTCTCAACAGTCTGGAGAGAGGAGCGTGGAGTGCTTTACTTTAGGTTCCAGGAAAGACTCTGAGAGAGGTCAAAGGGTGTGAGGCAACTACCGGAGGAAGGAGAAGGGCCATAGAAACATTGCTTCACTCTGGCTCTGTCCAAGGGCCAGGGGCTCATCCCTCACTCTTCCTCTTACCTCACCCCTTTAAAACTGAAAAAAGAAAAAAAAAAGCAAACCAACTAACCTAGCGAACAGCAATCTAGAAAACAGGGGGCTCTGATGGTCTCCACGGGCCACAGAAATCAAGATGGTGTTTATTTCATATGTAAATATTTTGTTTTCTAATTAATTTTGTATAGATAAAGTGGTCTCCTGTGAGTATTCAGGGTGTTGAGCTGGAGGGAGTGGGGTGGGGATGGGAATGAGGGGGGAATTATTTTGTTATGGGTTTTCATTTTCTGTTGGGAGGAATTGTTTGTTATGGCCTTTGCTTTGGAGTGTCTGGGAAAAGTTCATGGGAACAGAAGCCACAATGGTGAACAAACCAGGGGAAAGTCATTTCTGTCCATGCCCCGCCTCCAAAACCTGTCTTCCTGCTGGTTTGTGAGAAGTGATCTTGCACTTTGGCCTGAGTTTTGCAGGGTCCAAACCAGCACTAAGCAAAACTTGGTCTGACTCTTGTCTTCTAGGGAGACCAGGAAATGATGACTCTGTCAAAGACAAACTGGTGGCATCCGATTTTTCCTTGTCAGTACCTGGGCTTGCAAAGGTTCCCCAAAGGGCTTGAAAAAGAATTGAGGTCTACTTACCTCCCATCCTTGGCATGGCTGAGAGGTTTCTGGAAGCTGGATTCTGAGATATCTCACAGCAACCTTCTCTGATTCTTATCCATCATCCTACCAGTCTGACATATCATGCTCTAGTACCTGACCATCCTGTCCCCCATCTGTGTGCACCTATAGAAAGGACTACTTCAGGCACACCCAAGAAATGTCCACTCTTTCTCCTTCAGCATCATATGGTTTCAGGCTGTACAAGGACAGCAATGGATACAGGGGTCTTACAGATTTACATGCCTTTCTAGGAACATCACCCGATCCCCTCAAAACTCATTAGCCTAGTAAAGTAATAGCTAAAATTAGTTTCAGAGGTGGTAAAGAGGCCATTTGAGGGACAGTACCAATGGTGGCTTTATATTTGCCTTGTTCTCGTTACTGCCATCAGGAGGGTGCTATTTTGTTCGTGTTAGGTGTCGCAAATCTGATTCGATATAAACCGGACAAATAAAATCTCTTTTACTGGGTTGTTGACTTTGTGAAAGATAGCAGCCTCTCTCTCTCTCTCTCTCTCTCTCTCTCTCTCTCTCTTTCTCTCTCTCTCTCTCTGTCCCCCTCTCTCATTTCTAAATTGATATGTCCAGCATATTGCCCTTCCCCCCTATTCTCCCGCCATCAGTGGCTGCCAGTGAGATAGATAATTTAACTATCCTAAACCCCTTATTTGGCCTCAATTGATTTCTCCAACTGAATTCTTGAATTGGGACCAAAGTAAGATATTCATGGCCTTCTCTAAAAAGAATAAGGAAATGAAGTCTGTCAAGTTTTCTATGTGAAATTCCACAGTAGCAAGTCAGTTGAATACATCAGGAAGAATTCCACAGCTGTTCCCATCTCCATCCCTGATGGATATGGACCAAGACCCAATCCATCCAAAACTGTGAGGTTCTGCAGAGCCCTGAGGAGCATCTTGTGTTCCCTGGTGTCCTTCAGAACCCATGCTTTCTCTCACAAGTGCTCTCTACCATTGGGAAAGTGGGTTGGTGGATGTGGTCCCACATCACTCCTCCTAGTGGCGATGCTGACACTTCAGCATGCCCAGTGACCTCAACAGTCTGATCCTTGAATTTGCCTGAGCAAAGATGTGCACACCCTTTCAGAGTGCCGCATGTGCAGTGGACCTTGTTATTCCCAGGTTGTCACTGTGTATCCTCGGCCAGAGCTTGGGAAACACCCTTTGTGTGTATTCCCTGGGACTGGCCACAGCCATTTTGTGATTGGGGACAAAAATCCCAGATGATCCCATTAAATGTTGGTGGTGTCAGTAGTGCCCAAACGCATGTGTAAAATAGGAGTCCTCTATACAGTGCCGTGAATATCACTTGCCCAGTCTTCCATGGCCATCAGGAATTGCCCCAGGAAGAATTCTCTGCAGAGTGCTGGTCACCTGCACCTCTCATTTGAGAGCTAGGGTTTCTTTTGCTCTTTCTTTCTTTCTTTCTTTCTTTCTTTCTTTCTTTCTTTCTTACAAGTTCGAGATTTAGGGAAAGATTAATGTTTGGGCAAAAGCCTTTGGAAAAGTTATTCCTAAACTCACTTTTTTTTTTCCTTTAAATCACCATCTCTGAAAAGGCCCTGTCCTTGCTTGGCACCCTGTGTGTGTCTGTTTGGGTGTGCTAGGAATGATTCGGGTATGTGCATAAATGATGTAATGGCAGTTTACTGGTGAATGTGTTCAGTGTTTCTGGGCATTGTGGCCATACTATATGTTCCCAAAGCCATATAGAAAATGTGTGATCTTGGGGCTGCTGAAACACTATGGCATTTCTGCCTTTGCTTTCTTTGCCTTGGTGTCAGAGAGGGTTCTTGCTTGCCTAAGGACTCTTTAGGGGCAAGAAGCACCCTGAGGAGGTCAGTCATACTGGGGTGGCTCTGGCCTTGCCAATGGCAGATGACCTGTGGCTTGCTTTCAAGATCCTGAGAGAGCCTGCCAGCTGTTGACTTCCCAGGCAGATTTACGACATTCGGGCTGAGCTGTTTGTCTGCGGCTGAAATGAAAGCGTTCCCAGGAAGAGTGACACACTAAGCCATATTAGGGATTTGTACATTTAAACACCTAATCTACATTAGGATTTTCATTCCTTTTTCTGGGAATAAGCGACCGTAAGCCAGCAAGAGAAAGAAACAGGCGCATCATGGAGAAACAGAGCAGGGAAAAAGGATAACAGGTCCAGAAAACAAGTCCTTTAAGCCATGCTTCATCTCTACCTGTTGAGTTAAGGCCCACGGGGACCCTGGATTAGGACTTCTACCTGGGATCTGCTTTCAACACACAGTCATGCACACAGTTTGGAGATAGCTGCATTCTACACCACATAGGGCAGGTGAGAATGGTGACCCGGGGAACGGAAGACAGTCGCCTTTCCTCAAATGCAAGATATTGCGTAAAGAGCTGCAAGGAAAATGTTCAATCATATTTAGCATACAATCTATTAGTATATTATAAAATCACTCATTATCTCTTCTTTGTTCTAGATCAAATAATCTACCCGTTAACTGATTTGCCTATGCTCTAAGCGTTTCTAGTTTCTTTCCCCTTATTTTCTGTGAAGGAGCCAGTTGATCCTCAGGTACTGTTTAACCTGTGGGCCTCCGATATGCTTGGGTCAACGTTAAAATGCTCGTTTGTCATTCCTAGAGCTTTGAATATTGACCTAGGTCTAGGATTCCACCTAGTTTGGGGAGGTCGCTATCTGTAAGGTCACAGGCTGGATGAACGCATCCTACCCTCATCCCAGTATCACCACACAAGGTCCCTGTGAGTTCGTGACTTGGCACGTAAACTATCTACTCCCACAACAAAGCCGCCATCAAAGCCTGGAATGAAAGGCAGTGCTTTTGCCATGCCTTGAAGAAATTGGTGAAGTTCCAGTGTTCTAGGTAGTACAGAAGCAAGGAGAAAGAGCTTTGCTCATAGTATTGGGTTGTCCTGGCAATGCCGGCAATGAGTGGAAAATGTTGGGAATCCAGTGTCCTTGGTCAGTGACGTCGGAGCTAATCTTTATGAGCTGCTGGTGATGTCCATATCTTGCTTCTGCTAGTGTGACTGCGGCTGGTGGTGCTAATGGGAACTGAGAATGGAAAGTAGAGTGGATGGTAGAGCTGCTAACAGTCCTGGGATGCTGGTGTATGGAGTTTCCCGCAGCCTTGGGATGCTGGTGCACGGAATTTCTCACAGCCTTGGGATGCTGGTGTACTGAGTTTCTCACAGCCTTGGGATGCTGGTGTATGGAGTTTCCCACAGCCCTGGGATGCTGGTTTATCCCATCTGTTTTGGTGAAAGTGAAAGTGGTCCTTGGTGCAGGGATCAAGTTACAATGAAGAAGCACAATTCTAAGCCCATCACAAAACTATTATTTTAAAGCTATGACTTCCAACTTGAACTCTGTTTATCAATTAATAATTATTTTAAGCTTGTGATTTAAAGAGCGGTTCAGAAAAAAATAAAGTAAGAAGCTCTACATAAATATGTTAGTTCAACTAAACCAATGTCTGTTGAGCATTTACTATGTCCTTGAGCTAATGCTGAGAAATATAGAAAAGATTTTAAAATGGAGTATGTTATACTTGTGTAGGATATGCAAATGCATAAGTATAAAATATTTAAATGTATGTAATGTGTATAAAATAGGAGTGCATAAATTTCTGTGATTTGACATGCAGGTTTAATATTTTCTGGTTTCAGGCTTTGAGTCAAAGATATCCATTATGTTACTGAAGAATGCCATATTCTCAGTACATCCAAATCTCCACATCATAGTTGAGCCTTGGTCACTTCTGGGATTATCACACATTCTAAGCTAACCCTCAGAGATTCCCACTCAGGCCACAACCATGCATTTTCTTCACTCATCTTTGTCAGCGTCACACCCGAGTACTCTTTGTCCTGTGCACCAGAGTCCCCTTTGTGATCTTTTGTGGTCCTCTCCAGACAACAGGACTTCTCCCTGCGGCACCTTCCCTCCCTTCCACACAGCTGACCGTGTTCCTCTCAAAACACAATCTGGCAGCCATCTGTTGGGACAAATCTTTCCATTCAGTTAGACCCTTGAATCCCCGTCTATCTTTGCTCTCCCAGCCATCTAGAATAGATAGTTGTTCTTCACATGCACACCCAATGCTTACAGCTCTGCAATGAGTCTGTAATTTGCTACTCACCTACAAAATTCGAAAGCAGTATTTCTGTTCAGCGTCTTACCACAAACCCAACAGCGTTTTCATTTCCCTGTTATTCATCCTTCGGTGTTCCCCTTTGGGAAGTGGTGTGTTCTGATTTGCATCTTAGCTCTCAGGTCCCCTATGACCTCACTGGTTTCTGCTTTTGCTCAGCCTTTACTTGGTCTGGGTTCCAAGTTTGATTCTCCATGTAAACTCCTCATGATCTTCCCGATTTCCACAATATTTATGGCTCTGAGTGAAGATGACTTTCAAATCTTCTCTCTTAGACCCTAATTTTCTCTTCAGCGTAATGCACATATTCCCAATCACCTCACTTCAGATTGACGCAAATACCCAGATCTGCACCCAAACCAGCATAATGATGAGCAGGTTCTCCTGGCCTAGTGGTTCCATTGTTCATCTGTCGCCACACTTACGTTTTGCCAGGAACTTTTGCCTCCTTCATGTGCCTGATTTTGCAAGTATAATCGTTTGGAAAACCTATTGATTCTCACTCAAAGGTTTTCCCACCTCCCTTTGCTTTCAGACCCTTCCTTCCCATTGATTACTTCAGTGTTGTATAGCATTGCCCCAAGAATTCATATTTTGGTCTACTCTCACCAGTTTGTGCTTCCTGACCACAGTTATTTCATGTCGTCCTTAACCTCGGAAGACAAACCTTTGATGAGCTCCCCTTGACATGGTTCCAGCAGGCAACACCTTAGTTGGTGTGCTCTTTGTCACAGGACAGTTCAATTATATAGCTGTCCCTTAACACTCCCTAGTCATCTAGATTTACTTGTATCTTAAACTTCTCTCTTTTCCCCAAATGTCATGCTCCCAACTTTTACCTCCCAGCTGCCTTGCGTAATCCACTCCCTCTATACAAGTCTTCAAAGACAATAACACAACAACAGCATCTGTTTCCCCTCACAATCTGTGCAGAAAAACAGAGACATTTTATGAATGTCCATGACATTTTAATTTTCTCTCCTGGATGACAACCATCAGAGACCAGCTTCATAATTGTTTGAGTGTACATATTGTCTTCCCTGTTAGATTCTAAACAGGTCATGGCTTATTATTCTGTGTATGCCCTTGTCTTAATGATGTTTCTTTTCTCACCCTTTCTGACATTGAGTTATTGAACACAACACCTCCTGACATATATCTCAAGTAAAAATACATCAAAATTTCAATGACTTGGTTCAGGGAGAGTTTTAGCGTCTCAACTCCTCTTTTCTCTGAAACTATGGTTGGACTCATGGCCCTAGAGGAGAGAGTGTCACTTCTGGCCTGGTGTTCTTGTTCTCTATTCCTTATGCAGTCTTCACTTTCTCCCTTGGTTCCTTACTTCTACTTAACAAACCTCACCTATTTGTTCAAGTTAGTGATTATCTCTATCTCTGGAGAAAGTCTTGGGGCTGATCCTGTCCTTTTACCTAACCTGCTGTGGTACCAGCTAATGCTCTCTTTCTTTCTCCTGGCCAGCCTCCTCTATAACTCTAATGATGGCATTGGTCATGAATTATTCTCCTTTGGGAAGCATCTTCTGCCACCGAGTGCTAATTTAAAGCATACTGTAGTGAACCCAACTCGAATAAGTTACAGGCAGTGACAAGCCTGCTTTTCAAAACAGCAGGCAGAGTTCATTCTTCATCAGGACAGGAAGGGGTCGAGAGATTATTATTGGCAAGCTGGAGTAAAACTTGTGACAATTTAGGAAGTATCTAGTAAAAATTAAAATGTTAAGTCTAAAGGGATAGGTTTTTTTTTCAGTTTTAATAGTTGTAGATAGTATTGATCCTAGCAATGGGGATAATTAACTTTGGAGAGCAAAGTCCATCTCATGATATTATGAGAAACTTGCTTTAAGCCATGAAGCAGACTGGTACTAGCTAGTGGCTGTGTGGAGAGGCAGCTGTTCTCTCAAAGAAGGCATCCAGGAACTTCTGTTGGACCAATGATGGACCAACATTACAGGCAGTTTTACATGATTATTTTGTATCTTAGTCTATTCTCTGTTTTAATTTACCAGTACCTGTAAAGGATGATAAAATCAAAGAGTAAGAGGCCCATAAGAGGACTTCCCTTCACGTCACAAGTAAAGCTGGGGACCTATTGGTCCCTAGCTTTGAGGGTCCCTTCAGGAAGTAGAGAACTCCCAAAGGACCTTACTTGAGGCTGGTGGCTTCCCACAGGCCCATTCCTTTGACCAAAGATGATTTGCAAAATCTCACCCTAACATTGGAGAGTGATTTCCAGGTATCTTCCAGATGAGGAGAGAATTGTCCTTGGTTGTAACCTGAGAGACAGAAGCAAGGCCGATTAAAAATGAGGGACGTTACAAAGAATTTTCCAAGGGCCCATTCCAAAGTGTCTGGGGACTTTAGCCTGTTTGATTACAAGCTAGAAAGGCCAGGGGAGGTGTCCAGAAAGAACGCTGACCCTGAGGTAAGGAAGCTGGACCCTGTCTCATCTATGAGGTCCTAAACGTTTACGGGAAGTCTTGTCACACGTCATCCCTGAGTCAGCATCCTATTCCCTTGGATGGCACCCAGAGCGCTGTTGATCGCCAACCACCCTGGGCACAGAGGGCACAGCTTGTCCTACCAGCCTAGCTGTAGAATGGTAACCTTTATGAGTCCCCCCCCCCGCAGGAGGAGGCTCACAGTGCTGGCATCTGACGGACTGGAAATGCAGGGAATGTGGTCACAGGGACGTGAGACTGTGCAGTGGCCTGCTTCCTTCAGATAATGATATTGCTTGTTTCCTAAAGGCGTTCTTTCTTATTTAAAATCAAAGCAAGCAAGCAAGCAAACTAACACAAGCCCTGTCTTCCTGAAACTTCCAAATAGTCTATGTAGCTGCCAGTGCCACATTTTAATTGTAATTATTTAATTAATTATTATCAATCACCATTTTCCTTTGAAATCAGGGCTATGTTAATGTTGCTATAAGAAGCATTGCCAAGCAAGAAACTTTCCTACTTTGTTGTCTCTGTCTGAGTTGTGTTTTCAGTCTTATAAATTGGCTTCATGTTCTTCACACAGTGGCTTGTAATTCAATGACTCCTTTACTATTAATATTCTCCCATTTGTGTGTCTACCCACAACCTCACAAGCACACGCACACACATATGCACATGCACACACATACACACACAATATTAGGATGAGAAGTTGAGATACATACATTCATGTATACATACTATTTAATTTTCTAAACAGGAGCTTCACCAGTATAGTTCTATTAACATCCCCACCCTGTACAGAGATGGTCAAGATTTTCATAACTTAGCATCTTGCACAAGAGGAGAAAAAAATCATTTGTTACAGACTTTGAGAATCTTTGGCATTTTAAATGACCAGGAAAATGAGTTCAGTTTTGTCTTGACAACAGACCAAAAAAAAGTATAACCAGGACAGGTGAAGGGCCAGCCCTTCAGCATTCTTAGTTAATGTCACAAAGGAGGTGGTCCAGGGCACTCACAGTTTCTAGGATGATGCTACTTGCCTTTTTGGAGAAGGATGATGTTTGTGAAATCACCAGCAACTCACTTGGATCTTCACCATATTTGGCTTCTGGCTTCTGGTATATTCTAAGTAAACCAAACAAATCAGTATATGGATATGGGATAATTTACCGTCAGCTTCCAGATGGCTTCCTTGATGGGGACTTGTGGTGAGTTTTAGTTGCGCAGTTAGTCACACAGAAGCCCAGATGCACCAGGAGAGCCAAAGCTTCTGTTGTCAACTGTCTGCACTTTGTAGCCCAGGCTATCTCAGAAAGTCACGCTACGTGAGCTGCTCTCCAAGTTTTTGATACCTAACAGTGGAGGAAAGTCATGAAATCCAGGCAACTGGGTTAACCAAATCATTTGCACAAAATTCTTCTTCCCAGATCCCCACCCTGCCCATCTCCCATAATGCTTCTGTCTGCAGAAACCATTCAAACGGTGGAGCAAAGCAGGAATCTGCAGAACAGAGATAGAAAAGTTTCTGTGATGAAGGAGGTTTGAAGAGCAAATCAAGATGTTTGAATTTTATGAGGTAAGACATGTCACCTTACATGTGCCATGTAACTTTTATTATTCAAAATTTTTATATAGTATGTGAGAAGCCCAGATCTCCAGACTGGTACTCTATGAAGTGGGCCTTTAGGAGTATATGCGAGGCGGTCATGAAATGCTTAAGGTGTCAGGAGTTTGGGCCAGCCCACAGGGAAGGCAATTTCAAGACAGAATTCTTTACATTCTTTTCCTGGGTACTTGCATCTAATTTAGCCTGGTCCTAATATTAAAGCACGAATCAGTTCTAGAAATGTTACAAAGAATAATAGTACAACTCACAGATGCAATGAACTTCTGACAAAAGACCCTGCGTCCCCCAGAACCCAAATAAATAATGATTATCTGCCTAAATCCTGGAGGTCGCGAAACAGTGCCGTCTGCAGAGAACGGTTGTAAATACTTAATCTTTGCCCCCAAGATTATACTGGTAACTTGTCCAGCAGCCACAGCTGACAGACTTCTGCAGCTACCTTCTCATACAACCTATCTGCTGCCTGATGAATGGAACCAAGCTTGGGAAATAAAATCCACCTTTGCCAGAGGATAGCATCTTTAATTTATATTTCAAGAGGTTTTGCTCCTTATTCGGGACAGTGTGCTTATACCAGGAGCGGTGAAATGCTCTACCTTAATGTAAGCCCGAACCAATTTAATCAGTCCTTCCTATCCCAGGGAGGATGCGGCAAAGTGGGGAGTGGGGCGTGGTAAGAAATCTCTAGCATCACTTTTGTGGTGAAGGCATCCCAAGAACCTGGTTCAAAAACCTGGTATGGAGAGAGAAGGGAATTACTCATTCCCATGCATGCGGGGAGGAATTGAGACCAGCAAGTGAATGCTCCTCAAACTGAAAGTTTAGAATCAAGTTGGTGACAAATAGCATTTCTCTCCCACCCTTTTGCCTCCTGATAGCTGGCATAAGATCATGTTGGTCCGCATAGAAAGCTAAGAAAGAGGGCAGCCTATTCTGCCTTGGTGCCATGATGACTTCATCTTTCTTACGAATTTCATTACCTATGTCGTGATGCCCCTTAGTAACATAACAGGGCCAAGACCTGGTGGGTGTTTAAGCATCTGATCCCCCTGATGACCCTTGCTTCTCTGGTGCTATCCTTATATTCATCGTGGGGCAGAAATAAGATTCATAGGACCCTAAAGGCATGGGTAGAAAATTACTTAATTGAAACCACAAAGCTCTTGTGTTTAATATTAAATATTAAAGTGGAAATGAAAAAGGCAACCCTCCAGCACAGCTGCCCGCAGTACAGATCGGGGAAGCATTATGGGAAAAGGTTTAGGAAGCAAGTCAAACTAAAAGTATACACAGAATCAGGGTAGCTTCATTTTCCGGGGGTATTACAGCTGGTGTGGATGCTACCTATGCAAAGACAGAATTAGGTGAAAGTCAATGGTGGAGCCTGGGAGTCTCTCCTCGGAGCGATGTCCACATGAACCTAAACCCCTTGCCACTGACCTTAAGAATAGAATGCAGTTCCTCTCATAGTGTAGATTGATTTCTTCCTAAGCCAGGTTTGCCCACTGGTCATTGAGTCCTAAAATAACTCATAACCTTTCCTTGGTCTCTTGGCCTCTGTCGCTTCTATTAAAGAACAATCCTTAAAACCTGTTTGGGTAGGGCCTGTTGGATGAAGCCGACCTGGGTGAAGGTGGGAAATGGGCAATGAGCTTCAACCCCAGAAAAGAAGTCTCCGAGGAGCACGTACGTGCCCACTAACCTCTAATCTTGTCGGAAAGTCAGAGGGCTTTTGTGGATGTGCGGTTCTTTCTTTCAATGAAACAAGGCAGAGCATTCATATTCTCTCCATCCTCTGCCGGTTCTCTGAGATGCTACGTCTGCTTTTCTGCCCAGCAAGAGAAATCAGACCAAGAACAAAAGCCCACCCTTCTCAGACAGCTGGGACGGTCTTCTGCGTGTCTCGGCTTCTTTTCTCACACTCTCCGTCACATGATGAGGAAATCTTCAGGGCCGTCTCCCATCAAGCATACCAGCAAAGTACGATACAGAA